GCCTTCCCATCGTCTTCCTGCGGAGGAAGTTGTGCAACACACAGGTGGCCTTCACACACAACTCTACTACCTCCGGGCTGGTGGTGATGACACGCCTGAACATTCTCCACTGGGATGAGAGGACGCCAAACGCACATTCAACCACCAACCTGGCACGGCTGAGGCGGTAGTTGTACATCCTCCTCTCGCGTGTGATCTGGCGTCCAGGGAACGGACGCAGCAGGTTGTCCAGCAGCGGAAAAGCCTCATCTCCTACAAACACATGGGGAAGAAGGCCGAGCCGCTTTGCTCCTGGGATGACGGTATCAGGTGGTCGCTGCAGACTGCCATCTCGGAGGCTCTCTCCAAAAGCGGAATTCCGCAGGCTTCCACCGTCGCTGCTCCTTCCAAAACCTCCGACATCCACTACCCTGAAGAGGTACTGGGCATCCACGACAGCCAGCAGTACCAAGGAGTGGGTGGACTTGTAGTTAAAAAACAGGGACCCAGAATTTGCCGGAGCCTGGATCACCGCGTGCTTCCCATCAATGGCACCAACGCAATTCGGAAAATTCCAGCGCTCCTGGAACCCAGCAGCGATGGCTTTCCAGTCCTCGGTCTGTGGTACCGGCATGGTCTCCTCAACCAGGGCGGTCCAGATGGCACCCGCAACCTCCCTGACGATGACAGCCACTGTTGAATGCCCGACCCGATAGCTGAATGCTATTGTCCTGTATGAGTCACCGGTTGCCAGGTATGGAGGACGGAACATGACTTAAGTATAAATAAATAAATGTATGAAGAAATACAGGAATAAATAAATAAATACGTAAATAAATAAATAAATACAGGAATAAATAAATACAGGAATAAATAATTGACGAAATAAATACAGAAATAAATAAATGTTGAAATGAATACACAAATAAATAAATAAAAGAATAAATGCATAAATAAATGCATAAATAAATATGGAAATAAATACATCAATGTATAAATAAATAAATAAAAGTCGAAAATAAAACAGAACACACGTTATTATATATCTTTCATTTATTTCTACATTTACGCGACATACATTTATTTATTTATGTATTTATGTGTCCGTATGCTAATGAGGTGGGCGGTCCTAACCTCAGTCTGAAGCAGGATTGGTTACAGGAGTGTGTGATCATTTCTGGCAGAGGGCTCTACTACTAACGCCTGGATAACCGCGCTGATTCGAATGCAGGAGCTTTACTGTTTAGCCCTTATCTTTATACATCCATGGTTTATCCACAGTTGTAAGGTTTATTTATGGATATTGATTTAAGAGCCATTGGAGATCATTTACGATCATTAGCGGACCATTTAGAGAATGGAGAACCAAAAGACTATGTCCAGTTTCGTGTGGAACGATGTATAGAGGACTTGGCTCAGCTCGACATGGATGTGGATGTTAACCCAGCTGTGTTTGAGAGTCTTCAAGAGGTTGCCCGCCAACTTGAAATCCTCTCGGAAACAGAGGAGGCGACCCTTGGGCGTCCATCTTACATGTTGCCCCTAAACGTTATTGAAGCACATCTTCGTTGGGGCCACACCGCTGGGGACATCGCGCAGGTGTTCGGGGTGTGCGAAAGAACAATTCGTCGGAGGATGACACAGAACGGGATACGGTAGGTTTAATCCGCATTCTTTCACGTTTTTTGTCTGGATTTCCTTACTTTTATTGTTTTGGCGTAGGCTATATCAGTGTACACATTTGTTAGACGCATTAACTTGTGTTTAGTAATGATAACGTTTCATTAGCCTACATTTTCTCCATCCAAATTAGCCTACTTGTTTACATATTTATTAAAATGGTAATAGGCCATTTATATGTTGAAACCAATACATCAGATAGACATGTGTCGGGGCAAAGATACAAACATGCTTTGTACACAAAGCAAAGGTACCATTACCTCAGACATGATGTAGGCCTAATAATAGTAATGAGGTTTAAGAGACCAGCTCATTTGTTTCAGATGACACCTACATCTTTCAATGCAGGTTAGTACAGAGCAACACACTCATTCTGATGTGTTTTGATTGTACAGTGCAAAAGGTGACTATTGTTTATTGTGACTTACTATTGTTTCGTTATTTTTGATGATCAGGGTCCAAGATCTATTAACTCTGTTAGATGACAACAGTTTGGATGAAACTGTTACCCAAATTCTACAGCATCATCCCAACTCTGGATACAAAATGATGGTGGGGTACCTGAATGCACGAGGGATACGCATACAAAGTAAGGGATTGTTATTATTATAATAATCCTCCATGCAGTGTTTTTTTTTTACTACTTGATAATGAATCACATTATTCTGGCATATTTAGGAATGCTTTACTTTTCATTATGTTACTTGCAGTACACCATATCTCTGCATTTCCCCGAATATAACAGGACAGCGTGTCCAGGAATCCATGCGGCGTGTTGATCCAGGTGGAGTCTTGATTCGCACTCTGCAGCTGAACCCAAGAAGGCGTAGGAAGTACTTTGTACCAGCACCGAACAGTTTATGGCACATCGACGGAAATCACAAACTGATTAGGTATAGTATAATCATTAACACTCAAGCATTGCTCAAACATCCACTTCACTACAGTTACAAAAGATGGGACCATCTAAAGTGTTCTTATAATCAATCAGCTTCAATGCAAACCAGACTTCAAGATTCAAAGGCTTTATTGTCATATGCATGATAGCTTTTTTTATTGGTTGGTTATGAAAATCTGAAGTCTCAGTCTCCTCTAACAATGCAACATACAATATTCTGTAGACATAAAAACAAGTTAAAACACTGCAAGAAGAAATATAAATGAAATGTATCAAATGATTAATTGCACCAAATTCCTCTGCATGCAAATTACTTTTACTATCAAAATTAAGATGATTTATGTTTTGTAATTATAACTTTTAGTAGGATAAGGCACCTTTTAAAATGTGTAAATGTCTGTACATACATTAGTGGATTGACCTTAATGTGTGCCTATACATATCCCTTTAGGTGGCGTTTTGTTGTGCATGGTGGTATTGACGGCTTTAGTCGTCTCATCGTGTACTTGAGTGCTGCCACCAACAATCGGGCAGCAACAGTTTTAAGAAGCTTTTTGGAAGCCGCCAATGTCTACGGTGTGCCATCACGTGTGAGGTCAGATAAAGGTGGAGAAAATGTTGACGTTGCACGCTACATGGTGGCAAACCGAGGAGAGAACAGGAATTCACACATTGCTGGCAGGAGTGTCCATAATCAAAGGTACCTTAAACTTCAAGTCAAACTTTTATCAAATTAAGTCCTTGGTAAAGATTGCAATGTCAACTATATGTCTTTAGCTATTATTAATTGTATTTTTGTTCGTCTTCCTCTGTGAGATAAAACCATAGAACTAAAAAAGTTATATTTCTATAATACAAACACTATAATTATGACACCAACTGTATAATTTGACAAGAAGGATAACAATATTTTTCAAACATCTATTTAGTGGAAGTCCCAGCACGTTGCATGACCGGGCAAATTACTGTTGGAACTTGGATTTTGAATGTATTTTCCAGTCAAGAGAACCTTACATTAATATTGAACAACAACAGTTAATGTGGCATAAATATGGCATTAGTCCGTCTTTTTTTATACATCCATAGTATGTTCAGCTGATATATTTCCTGATCCAGTTTCAACAAAGCTTACAGTATAAAAACCTCACCCAAGTTTGATGAACTTTGCTCAAGCAAAATGATTTTTGCTAAATCCAATTTCCAGCTTTTTTCCAGAGGCATTATTGTGCACTTGCCACTTAATCAGGAACATTTTCCTATTGAAATCGGCAAAAATGTTAATACTTAGCTTCTAATTAATGTAATTCAATTCTAAATTTACTTACCATTTATGGTAGGTGAAAGGTGATATTTGTAAGTTTTTTTTTTTTGTTCACTGAGCAGACTAAATATTTTCCTTCCTTTTTCCTCAAAAGGATAGAAAGGCTCTGGAGAGACGTTTATGTAGGAGTGCTGGATCTCTTCTACACAATGTTTTTCAACCTAGAGAGAGAAGGCCTTCTCAATCCTGACTGTGAAGTGCATCTCTATGCTCTGCACTGGTGCTTTGTGCCCCACATACAGAAGCACCTGCAGTTTTTCCAGCAAGGCTGGAACTGCCACCGACTAAGCACTGAGGGAAACCGGTCCCCACTGCAACTGTGGACTCGCCATGAGCGTGAGGCCCAGCAGGAACATATACAGGTTTGATTGTATTCAATAGTTTTATTTTGACTTTGACTTTACTTTCCTACATGGGACCATGTTAACACTAATACCCACTTTTTCTGTCATTACACAAACTGTTTAAAACAAATAATACAAGTGAGTATAGTTTCACAATGTAACAAATAGTGGCCTGTTGTCGAGGAAACTGAATGTGATGGAATTATTTTATTCTGCATATCATCGGCACTTTAAACACTTCTATGAGGTATTCCTAAAATGCTGTGATCAACCAGAACAAGCGGTTAAGGAAGATAATGATACATCAGGGCTTTCTGCTCTCTAATGATTTGATTGATGTCAGCTGTTCATGAGACATTAATCAGGAATTCCAGGAGATGATACAAAACGGTTATATAAAATGAATTAACTGACAAATATATTAAAACTTTGATTTTGGTTGACTCTAACTTTAGCTCTTGCAATTGCAGGTTGACATTGAGTTTGGAGTTGACTGGACTGGACCATGTGCTCATCGCCTGCCTCATGTTATGGTTCCTGAAGTTCAGCTGCAACGTTCACTGACTGACCAGGAAGTGGAAAGACTTCCAGACCCTGATGGCCCTCTGTCCAATGTGTGGAATGTCTATGTACAAACTGTGGGCTTATTGACTGAAATGCTACAGTAAATGTGTGTGTGTATCAAAAGTCTGTTGCTGTGGGAAATGTAGTCTTTTAAAGTTTCGACTAGGACGATTAGGTGACAATATTTGACTGAGTTACATGAAGACGCTGGTACCAAGATTCAGTATATTTCGATTTTAATACAATAAAAATTAGATGGTAATGAAGTTACGTTCAGTAGTCATTTGAAACATGTGTTGCACTGAACATATGCTTGTTGTGAATCAACACTTACTGTAATGCATCAAGAAATATACATTTGTTACAGTTAATGAACATTTTGTAACGAATATCAATTTAAAACTTTGAAAATATATAAAGATAAACATGCTTTCTTTGTTATGTGCAATAACAAGGAAAGCATGTTTATCTTTATATATTTTCAGTGTTACACAAACTGGCCGGAGTATAGGCATTAACTGAGTTTTTTTTCCTCTCTGAAAACATACATTTTTGGCCGGCCAAACAAAAGACAACAAATCTAGTACTAAGGTGTGTCCGTCTCTTCAGACCATCCCGAACCCAGTTTCAGTGCTCCAAATAGCAGCAAGAATGTCCCTTTCAAACATACAGTACTCTTTGTAATGTCCTGGAAGTTTCAGCTGGTGAAAGCATGTGGAAGAGCTGGGGAAGTTGCTCTCCACCACGGTCACATCCAGGCCATGTCTAGGAAGCACATTCCATCCTATCCAGAACTGCACAAGTTTCCCAAGGATAACGGGAGATGCTTTATAAAACAGAGAATAAATTCATTTTATTATAATTGCTTTCAGTTAATAGTTAAATAACAATAATGTTACTTAAATTACGCCTTGGATTGTTACTGTAGCTTTAAAGATAAAAACAGAGGAAGCGCAGCTTTCGTTATAATAATTACAAACTTTCAGTAAACAAAGCTTGAAGACGTTGTTTTACCCATCTCAATAAATGTGCGCAGGAATCCTGTGAGCCTACAGGAATCCTCCAAAGAGACTTCACTGTCTTCATCCTCATCCTGTGTGGGCCAGTTTATCTTCTCCAACACCATCTGACAGATTTCGTTTTGAAAGGAGCCCAGTGAAAGCACAATAATAAACAGAACATACAAGAAACTGCAGGTTTTGCTGTGTAGCAGCAGAGTAGTCTAAAGATACAGTTGTTCTATTGGTTTAGCTCCTTTTAAGCAGCAAGTAGCATCATTTCATTTCAAAATATGTTTGCGTAGGTGAATGTTTGTTTTAATAAACTTAAAGCAATGTAGGTCTGAGAGTAGTAAATAAACCCAATTTCTAACTCCTGTGAGTTAGGAGGAAGGATTTGACTGAGCAGCATGAGATCACTTACCCGTGGTGTGCACTGCAAATCAGATGCTCTTGGAAAGAGAAGGGGAATCGTGTCTTTCCTCTCCGTCAGAAGAGGCCAGATCAGTGTCTCTTTTAAACCCCTTCGTAACTGCTTGACTTGTCTGGAGGTTCTTCCAAGGACCTGCACAATATTTGCATCACAGTAGAAAAGCAAAGCAGCCTGATTGATCTAATAGCCCAATAAGCATGTTTTAATACACTATTAACATCCAAATATGTATTTAACAAAAAAGCTCAAATGTGATATGCCAAAATGAGGTCCTACTTCAAAACTTCAACTCTGATTAGTCAGTCTGATTCATATGACCTGTTAAGAATACTCACAGCATGGAGGATCAGTTTATCAAATAGCCATCTCCTGTTGTCACATGTAACTAGAGGCAAATCCCAGGACAGTGCCAACTCATTGATGAGCTTTTTTTCTTCTGATGATAACTCTGCTGTTCCCTCCAGCTAATAATGGCAAGTAGAATGAATTTGATAAGAATCGTTAATTTCTCAATACTTGTATAAACATTCAACTTTGATACAACATAAGAAGTTTAACTTATAATCAGCATGTTAGTTGGTAACCTGTAAAAGCTATGTTTTGTCAAAAAACATCTTATAGGAGGACATCTATAAGTGTTCTAATGATATTTAATATATCAGTGCATGGTGTTTTATAATGCTTCAGTAACTCCTGCTGGTGCAAAGTGTAGCCACTTGATGTTAACAGTATCTGAAAGTAGATCAGCTAAATAAATAATATCCAAAGGTTGAATAATAAAATAGGTTAGAAAAACATTGAACATACCAACTTGATTGTCTCACAGATATCAAGGTCAACACAGTCCTTAATATCTATTGTGGCTTCTTCTGGGGATCCACCAAAGAGCACATGCAGGACAGCTGGGCTCAGTCCACCTAGGCATGGCCCATCATGGAGGAATGAATGTCCAATCATTCGGCCAGCAACAACAAAGAAGTCACTCTCCAAAAGGAGATGAGAAGTGGAGGGAATCAGATGATCTTGTTCTCCTTCAAAAAGAAGAGTTCCTCCAGGCACTGCAAATATAGGAAAACAGTCAAAGTAAATTGATAGTAAAGTAAAGGACATAGATATTCAACTATCACAAAGCATTAGTAAAGGAATGATCAAACCGCCACTGGATACTGGTTGATCCTGTAGAAACCTACATGTTCACAGCAGCTACAATCACATCAGGTTTTAGGAATACGTTTTGTTTTCTGGGGTTAAGGGACAGATCTGTGTTCAGCCTGGAACTGGTACAAAAACACACATAACTTAGTGGCTGAGACCCAGCGATCAGCCATAGTAAATATTTACTTACCAAACTTCATCTCAAAACCAGCCTGAAGTTTTGACATGATGGTTGCAAAGAAATGCCGAGTCACACCATCACCAATGGCTGGATCTCCTTAAAAATGTAAACACACACTACAGACATCAGTTTAACGAAAATATGGTTTGTTCATTTTTTTATCTTGGATTTTGTTTGTAACCGAATTACCCTTAAGTGTGCATGTCAAGGGGCAAGCCCACTCAACATTTGCCTTCTTATAAAAAGTAAGGACTGCTCTTTCCCTTTCCGCTGCACTGTCTCCAAGATCCATAGTAAGACACAAGGATTTTCCAGTTGCATGCTGGCTTAAAATGTCTTCTTTAAACATCTTTGCTGCCTCTGTGGGATCTGGTGCTATTCTCCAATCTAAAAATAGTTTAAAAGGTTTCCAAATTAATATTGGATCAAGTGAAATGTAGAGAGCAACAACTTATTGCAATACATGATGTACTTAATAAAGGATGTTACACACCAGAGAAGCCACTTTCCTCAGTGGGATCGATGTCAACTACCTCAGGAGAAGGCAACATTTCCTGAGGTGGCACCGAGTGTCTTGTGTTCCTGGCCCTTGTTGTCTCATTTCCCTGTGCTCCTGTGAACGTGCTTTCAAATCTAACTTGACTTCCGGAGGCCCTTTCAGTTGTCAACTCAATCTGTACCTCACCGCTGCTCTGTGATGGTCTAGTGTAAAAAGAGGTTATTTCTGTTATTTGGTCTAGTATACTTTACATTACATATCACACTCTAGAAAAAGATGGGCATATACATAGAATGAAAAGTAAACCAAATGTTACTTTTCCTCAAAACCAACATCCAGAATGTATATCTTTCATATTTAAATGTATTATAGAGGACAGCAGAATATGGTGTTACAGAGGGATTGTTGGAACAAAAAGTACTAATATCTGGCCCCATAATTATAAAACCTCAGATGTGCTGATATGTCAAAATATTTTACATCCATTTGCAGCATCCCACAGCCTTATGCTTATTGGTTATTGTGTGTCTACACATGCAGTTGCAGTGTGCCTGGCGAATGTGATGTTTAGTTCTGTAGAGAGTAATACCTCGTGCAGTTATTGCTGTGATCCTTGATTCTGGAAAAGGGGAACTCCTCTCCACAGATGACACATTTCTGATTTGGTCCAATTAACACGTTGTCGCCTTCTGATCGACATGCCTGTAAACAAAATAGTTTTAAACTACATCACAAGCGAACAATTATGTTACTGTAAGTCACAGATTCCACTTTAATATTGTGACACCACTATAGAAGTGAGGAACTTACAGGGTCCAAATTCAGGGTTCTTTGCATTGGTCTAATGAAAACCGTAGAATGGCCAATCTGGGTCTGAGGGTCCTTCAAATATCTGACATAGTAACCCTCATTGGGACAGGGGATCACAATCAAGTGGCGACTTCTCGTAGTGCCAGATATTTTTAGCAACTCGAAACCGCCACCGTTCCGCAGTTTTGGATAGGCATCCATCAAGAATTCGAGGAATTCATTTGAATCTGTATGGCTGCCTAGAAATAGATGATACACATAAGAGATCTAACATAAAGATAATGTTATGATTGTAAGGGTAACTCAATATATTTATATATCACAAATGTACATTTACCATAAAAAATAGACAGAAAAGGAAAGAGCGATTGATAATCGTCATTCTAATGACTGACAGACCTTTAAATGTGAGCCGTTTTTCACCAAAGCCAGCAGCAGCGAGTCTTTCTTTGGCGTATCGGTTGGGGACTAAGGCTGCATTCTTGTCCTCAAGGCAACAGAATAAATGGGTATAAGAATGCAGGTGTGCAGGACCAGAAAGGGTTTGCCGCCCTGCCGTCCTCCTCCCTCCCATGTAGGGGCCAAACAGTCTTGAAACTTCGGCTAGGATCAAGTTAAGAAGATAAGCAATATTGAGTGCAAGGAAATAATGATTCAACGAGAATCCAGGGGGGAAATGTTGGTTAGCGTTAGCATCACACACTATAAATATAATGATCCCTTCAAGCTGGTGGACAGAAACTGAATCAAATAACTTGTCATTGGCGATATAAACTTAGTAAACTGATCGGATTTGCATTACAAATAATTTGATGCAAAGACCTACCGTCCACTGGGTGTCTGGGAGTCCCGTTATGTAACGGATGAGGAGGAGGAGACGAAACTGGCGCGTTAGCGGTCCTTGGTGCTGCACAAAACATAACATAGCGCCACATTGGGTACAAAACTGTACATTGGCATTTTAACACACAGATCAGTTTTTTTACATTGTCATATCAGTCTTACACTAGACCAAAACATGAGTCACTTACAGTTTTCAAGCTGGTTAGCCGCATCCCGCAGAAGGTCTGCCAGCGCCCTTCCAGCCGAAGCCATTATTAGCGAGTTGCCGACAATGTACACAGAATGTACAGATGTGACTTGCCACGAATCTATTGCTTCTGCCTGGCTCCAACAATTGGCGAATCCTGCTTCAGACTGAGGTTAGGACCGCCCACCTCATTAGCATACGGACACATAAATACATAAATAAATAAATGTATGTCGCGTAAATGTAGAAATAAATGAAAGATATATAATAACGTGTGTTCTGTTTTATTTTCGACTTTTATTTATTTATTTATACATTGATGTATTTATTTCCATATTTATTTATGCATTTATTCTTTTATTTATTTATTTGTGTATTAATTTCAACATTTATTTATTTCTGTATTTATTTCGTCATTTATTTATTCCTGTATTTATTTATTCCTGTATTTATTTATTTATTTACGTATTTATTTATTTATTCCTGTATTTCTTCATACATTTATTTATTTATACTTAAGTCATGTTCCGTCCTCCATAGCCAGGTACCTGAGAAAACAAATATATACATGATTAAAATAAATATGTCAGACCCCACATACACACACACACAGATCCCCCCACACACAGACCACAGACACACACACAGAGATCCCCCCACACTCAGACCACAGACACACACACAGAGATCCCCCACACACAGACCACAAACACACACACAGAGATCCCCCACACACAGACCAGACACACACACAGAGATCCCCCCCCCCCCACACACACAGACCACACACGCCATGTACACAGGGGAGCAAGACTGTGTTTACCTAGCTATCTAAATTAATGTCATCCATCTGAACTAAATCAAAGACTTCAGTCATCATTCATCCATGGCATGCATTCTCTCTCTTTATATACAGAGTCATATTAAAGAAGTAGAAATACACAAAACGTACCGTAGGCAGATGGCGAGTCGCTCGGCGGGTATTGGATGTACCCAACAGCGACGAAAACTACATGGCCTCCAGCGAGACATTGCATCCACTAAATTCACCCTTGCTACTACACTTGCTACCCATGCTACATAACCGGCATCCATTTTGACAATAGTGTAGAAGAACCGGGTTGTTTTGCTTTGTATGTCGGGGGCGGGATATTCATGTGATTGGTTGTTGGTCGCGAAATCCCCAAGCTGTCAGACACACCCAGCTCCAGGATTTTCAAGATTTGGTCAAAGCTGCTGTGTGGACACACCGTTACCCTGTATTCCACCGGGTCACCGCGGCGCAGATGGACCTGGTGGAATTAGGGATGCCAGAAACTGACCATGATCAAAATCGAAAATCGGACAGCCCTGGCGAATACTAATCGATTATTCGACCCCCCCACCGGGGGGGGGCGGGAGAGAAAAAAAAAGGGCTGCTGTTAACGTAGGTCTGTACAACGGAATTGTGCCAAAACTACGCCAACCGGCTGCGGAGGGAGACTCCCCGCCCGTTCTAATTGATGAACTAAAATAGTTTATGCCAAGTGTGATAAAAATGCAAAAGAATAAAGATACTTTAATAATAATTGTGTTAAAAATAATTATTTTAGCAGAGATTTGGACCAAGCATGTATGATGTAGTAATACAACAACTATTTTAGTTCATACACTGTTACATTAGCTAGTCATGTTAGCTTGTAATATATAGAACAGAGCTAACTAGCAAGTTAGCAGTTTATGCTATACTAGCTGTTGGCTACTGAACATTAACAAACTGGATTCCGCTGTAAGAAAGGTGTGAAACTTTACATTAAACTTGGCGACAACACTGTGACACACCGCTGCATGTTTATGTGTAATTCTCCCGTGTTGGAGACGAGAGGGTGGGGGCAGCACTGCAATAAGCTGTAAGCTAACGTTAGCAGCCACCTGTTAACCTGTAAAGCCCGATTGTCCCACCGGTCGCAACATCTTGCAAGAAACAGCATCTCAGGGCTTCTTAACATTTAACAACCTATTAATGATGCTTACCCACGGGAAGAAACTTATGGGAAGAAACTCAGCTAACTGACGATATTAACCATTTTTACCTAAACGAACCACAAGTCTAACGCCAAGCAAATCAGCACTTAGCGAAAACAGCTAACGGGGCTAACTTTAGCTTTAGCACAGAACTGGCAAAAGCGATCTTTTCTACTTCATGCTATCTGCACAAACCCTAACCCAACCTTGAAAAGGTATCATATGAAAGCTGAGATTCCACATATTCCCTTAAAGAGCCTGTGACAGCATCCCAACAACTGTTGTGCAATGAAATATTGGGCTACTAGTAATCTCGAACCGTCAGTTTAAAAAAGAAAAAGCGATACCGTTCCGTTAAATATCAATAATTTCGATCATCGCGGGGAAATTCCTTCGACTCATTTTGAAGTTTTAGGGGAAGCCGGAAGTGACGTCAATGCGGGAACGCTTCACTGTGTTGTCATGCGTAGAAATTGTGAATTACTGAGTTTAGGCACGTTTATAACGTTTTAATGAAGTTGACTACAGTATATTCATATTTGTCAGTGCTTTCATGTCAATTCGGCGAACATAAACATAAATGATCGTGGTGAAGATGATGATTACATTAGGATTAAAAATCTGTAGTGAGAGCTGCTGAATTTCCTCCCGTAGGATGTGATATAAAAACAAATCGATTATTTTTGTAGTTGTAAACTCAAGTGGATGAAACTACATTTTATTAGTGCTTTCATGTCAATTCGGCGAACATATGATAGATTAAATGATCGTGAGAATGATGATTAAAAATCGTTTGTTTGTGCCGGTCTGCATTTCCTGATGAGAAAACAAACCGATGTTTTTTGTAGTTGTAGTACACCAACATGGATTAAACGTGTGGTTTTTTTACCACAATGTTGGGGAAATTAATGGATAAAATGCACGGATTATTATTATTATTATTCCCACTCCGATCGGGACACTAGGTCCACCGTTTCCCCGCAGCGAGGCTCCCACGTTGACAGTTTACATGGGCTGGGTGCAGTGGCGGACTGGCCATCGGGACGAATCCCGATGGGCCGGTACCGAAGTGGGCCGGTCGGATAAGTCACTAGCACATCCCCCATAGGCGGCGCGTGAGGCTCAGGTTTGGGAAGGCTAAATAACTTTTTTTACGCCTCCGGCGTCTATAGAAAAGAGATCAACTCAGTGTGCGGAGTTTACATCTCTCAAGTCATATTACAGGATAAAGGAAATACAGTTTAAACTGCCGTATGCAGAGAAGACGCCGACCTGTCGCACTTATCATTCATATTACATCATCAATCAGATCATCGATCATATAATATCATAATATATCATATCTTTCCTTATCTGAGTCAGCTTCTCCAGCCGTATCTGGCCGTGCAACACTTACAGTGTCACATACTGTATGCAGAAGTATTATTTTAAGCAACACATTATGTTGACGAAACACTCGAGTCAAATGTAATTAAAGTCAGATCCACTCGTGTCTTAGACGTGAACGCGCTCTCAGCTGGTGAGAGAAACCCTGGCTTGATTTACCGAGTTGATAACCAGCGTCGTAGGACCGCTTAGCGAGATCTCGTTTGTTAGTTTGTTGTTGTTAGTTTGTTTGTTACTCAAACATATCCAGGGTATGTTGAACTGGCTTCGTAGTACAGGGCACAGGTGGCTAGCAGCGCTAATGTCAAAGATACAGACATTGCATTATATTTGTATTTTACCAGGATGCAGTGACACAAATATTTACATATTTACATTTACTATCTACAGCACCCGCTGCCCCCGACATCCCCCACTCCCCCCGTTGACAATTTACTAGCGGTACCGAGAGTCCCGGGATGATTTTTTGTCCCAGTCCACCACTGGCTTCATGACCGTATGATCACCCATATTGACGCACCTAATTCCTAAACTTCTAACAGATACAACATAAACCGATCCTACAGCCTCATATGAGCTCTCAGACACATTCAAAATTAAACTGTCATCGCTGTCTGAGCTTGCTGCTGTGTGCGCCATCGTGCGTTTACATGCAGATGCTGGGATCCTGAACGGTGCAGCTGGAGCGCTGTGCCCGCAATGACGTCACACATCATTTGGCGGGACTTGAAGAATCCCCGAGAAGATCCATTGAAGGGCAGATTAATGGTTATCAAAGTACAAATATCCAAAATCAGTTCAGTAACGGTTTTCAAGGGGACAATATTTACTCAAATTGATGGGTTTGGATGATGGGGGAAACTCGTGTCACAGGCTCTTTAAAGTATATGTCTTATCACTGAAAACTCACTGAACTAGAAGAAGAAACATAACCGTAAATAAAAAAGTAAACTTTCACAAACTAAGGATTATCTAAATACATGTTAAACTCCATTACAGTTGCAGGACTCACCTGATCTTAAGTCTTCCATTCTCTGTTGACGTCCCGCTAATCATATTAAACGGTAGAAATAAAATATCAATCCAAAAACTCCTGGCGCAGACAGAGTGAGCAGCTGCGCATGGAGACCTGATGGAGACCCGCTCAAACTTCTTCTTCTTTGGTGTTTTTTGGCGGTTGGCAAACCGACCAGCTCAAACTGACGTGGGTGTTTCAAATTTGAACGACAGGCGCGGACAGTTCTCATTGGCAGGTTTCTTCGATGACGTTTATATTAACCAATCACATTAAAAGCAACATGTGAAGTAGCCAATTGCAATTTGTTTCTGTCAAAAGTAAAAATATCTCACATACTCACATAATGCGCAGAATTAAGTCATTTAATAAATGAAAGTAACTGAAATAAATCATATATATGTGTGTGTGTGTGTGTGTGTGTGTGTGTGTGTGTGTGTGTGTGTGTGTGTGTGTGTGTGTCCTTGTTTACAAATCAAATGTATTTCAAACAAGGACTACCTGAAGAATGTCTCATTCAATTGCAATAAATGGAATGAATTCACCATGCACAGTCCACAAAAATGCAATATCAACCCCCATACCCCCAGTTCAGTGCTTCTCAAAGTGTGGTCCGTGGACCACTGGTTTTATAATCTGTTCTAGAAAAACTATGTGTTTTTTTATATTTGTGGAGTTAGGTGGTCCTCGAGTGTCTTTGTATTGGTTAAGTGGTCCTTGGTGGTCCTTGGTGGTCCCTGTTGTGTTCGGGTCAAATCTGACCGATTTACGACTTTCATCAATCATAAGTAGACAGTAGACATATGAAAATTGCTGATCCCCACTTTCATTGAATTTTGGATGATTTAGTCAACTTTGTAACACCCATGGTGTT